GTCGAGCTCGCAACGCGCGCGTCGAGGGGCCCAAATCATTTCCGTCGACGGCGCGACGCGTGCGCTGCGGACGCCGGCGCAAAACCGCTCGGCCTCGCGGAGGATGTAGAGCAGGCGCCGCAGGATCTCGCGGTCGCGCTCCGTGACGCGCGGCATGTCCTCGACGCGGAAGGCCTCGCGGCCGAGGGCGAGGCAGCCGGGCGTCCGCAGCAGGTCGCGCTCGCGGATGCGCTCGCGGTGGATGAGGTCCTCGACGGGATCGTCGTTGTCGCTCTCCTCAAAGCCCCCGTCGCTGTCGTCGTCCGCGCCGGTCGCGCGGTTCGGCGGCGGCGGCACGGGCCGCGCGGCCGCGATGCGGGCCTGCTCGCGGCGGACCTCCTCGGCCTGGATGCGCTCCAGGAACGCGTTGCGCTCCTGCTCCTGCGTGACGGCCTCGTGGAGCCGCGCCGCGCGCCGGATGTGCTCCTGGTCCTTCATGCGGAGGCGCGCCTTCTGGACCTCGGAGAGCTGCGGGAAGACGCGGATCTTGGGCAGCGGGCGCGGGGGCGGCGCGGCCGCCGCGGCCGGGGCCGGGACCGGCTGCGTCGCCGCGGGCGCGATCGTCGTCGAGGGCTCGGGCGGCGCGGCGGCCGCGGCCGCGGGCGGCGCGGAGACCGGCGCGTGGGGCGCGGCGCCGGCGGCGTTCTTGGCCTTGGCCGACTTCTTCTTGGACCGCCGCTTGAGCTTGCGCTTGGCCTTCGCGGCCTGCTCCTGCTCGTCGTCGTCGAGGTCCATCATCGACGGCCGGCCCGGCTCCCAGGCCTCGTCCTCGTCGTCCGCGTCGGCGTCGTCGACGACGCGCTTCTTGGACGCGGCGGCGCGGCGGCGCGGCGCCGGCGCCGGCGGCGCGGCCTCGAGGGGCTCCGCGGCCTCGGGCGACGTCGGCGCGGCGGCCGCCTCGCGCGGCGGCGACGACGACGCGTCCGCGAGCGCCGACGGCGACGGCGCCGCCGGCGGTGCCGGGGGCGACGAGGCGCGCGGCGGCGACGGCGCCGCGAGCAGGTCGTGCTCCGGCACGTCCGCGGCCGCGGCCGGGACGTCGTCGTCGTTCTCGGCCTCGGCCTCGGCCGCGGCGTTCGCGGCCTCCTTGGCGAGGCGCACGACCTGCTTCTCGCCGTACTCCGCGACGCGCTCCTGGACGGCGGACCTATGAACGG